GACATAGACTAACCTCCAGGCTACTTCCCTCCTCTGACTGACCTTCCCATGAGGTGGAGAGTCTATGGGACAAAGGGGAAGTGCCCACTGGAGCCATTTTCTCCATCATGCTCCTGGCTCCTGGGACCCTCGACTGTCTGCTAAAATGGCCCAGACTGACTTCCAGGGCCTGCACGGACCTTTCTGAGGCCATCTTCCTAGGGCAACTCACCAATGGTGTGAGCGCCCAGGTGCGAGGGATGGCAAAGGAGCAACTGTATATTGACGTGTGGACGTGACTGAGTGCCCACACGCATGCCTATGAGGCACCTTGGGTGGGGACCAGAGCCAACTGTAGGAAGAGAAAGGTCTGGGCTGCACATCAGGGGCCACTGCTACCCACATCTCTCTGTTCTTGCACAGAATTTCACAGACCCCAAGCATCCCAAATTTGGCTTTCCTGGTCATTATAATGTCCATTTATCAAAGAGGGGGTACAGACATTTTATTGAACAATTTATAGCTTTGTAATATTTAGACACCCTATATGGGCCTTTATTTGCGCACTTGGTCCTGCCACTCATACACAGCTCTCTGTCCATTTCATTCTCCCTGCTGTCCTTTCAGAGAAAGGAATGCCCTCCCTCCTTCCCCAGACTCGCCCCTCCGACTATAAGCCTGACCTCCCTCCCCACCACCTCCACTCTGCTACCTGTAAAATGCAGACACCTCTCCCCCACACTGCTCTGTGTGCTGTTCTACTTTTCTTTCTTGTCCCCAAACCTTTCACTGAACTATCCCCCAAAGGTCTCCATTGACTCCGTGCCCAAGGTCATTAGTCGCTGTTCTCTAGGATGGCCGTGGCTGTCGTCACTCTGCACAGTTGAAACCCTCTGCTCTGACGTCCCAGGATTGTCCCATGTGGCCTGCTTCTGTGCTCACCCCCTAGTCTTTTTCACTCAGCTCTGCGCTTTTCCTGCACCCTACCAAGAAAGTCTAGAGGACTGCTGCTGTGTATCCACCCTGTGTATCCACCTTCGGCATGCGGGTCCCCGACCTGGGATGACAGCCCCATCTGTGACGACACAAAGGGGAATTCTGCTCTAATGCCTCCAGAATGCACTTTCAGCAAGTCTGAAAGAACTCATCTTCCCTGTATAACCAAGTTGCCTACTTCCTTCCTATTTTTGCATTAAAATTATATCAACAGGGATTTCTACACTTCTTTTGATTTTAAATGTGATGGTTCCAGTTATATCATGGGTTGTTTGTTGTTTTTTTTGTTTTTTTGTTTTTGTTTTTGTTTTGTCAGCTAGCTCAGACTAACCACCTTGTATCTCAGAATTGTCGGGAGGAGGGAGGAGCATTCCAGCTTGCAAATGTTCTGCAAGAATATAGCCAACAGGGGAGAGGAAAACTGTTTATTGCCCCAACTTGATTGAAACTCTCTTAAAACATTTGTGCAGTAAGCACACCAGCCATGCTCACAGAACAGAAGTCAAAGCTGAGTAAATGTGACCATGCCTTTAAAACACTCTCACCAGTTAAAGAACTAACTTGAAACTTGTATACAATGAGGCATTTAAAAAGGCTATCTTTGAATAATGGGATTTTGGCTAGTTTTTACTTTTTTGTGCTTTTCTAAAATTTCCATAATGAATTTTTCACTTTTGTGTTCAGAAAAATAAACAGATTAGTTTTGCACTGTTGCATAACAAATTACCACAAATGTGACAGCTTATAGAAAAACCCATTTTTTGGAGAGAGATAAGACAAAACTTGAGCTTGCCCATGATGAGATGTATGTATGTATCTTGCCCACTAGATGGAAATAAAGTAGGATGTTTGTACAGATTTGAAAAAAATAAAATAAAATAATAAAATAAAGTCCGGAAGTTCCGGCACCCCCGCGAGCGCCGGTGCGCCCCGAGGTGAGCGCGGGCTGTGTACCGAGAGGCCGGCTCGGGCAGCTTGTGGCGGGCTCTGGCCAGGAGACTCCCGGACCCCGGCAGCTGCCTCCGTCCTCTGTGCTGGACCCCATCGCCCCTCCCAGCGCCACTCCCGAGTCCTCGCACATCTGTGAGAGCAGCGACAATGGACGAATCTCTGGTCACAACCTCAGGAGATTTTTTAAGTGTGATCTGAAACCACTGCCATCCATGGAGGGCCTGGAAAGATCTTAGAATGTTGGCAGGTAGCATTTTTAATAACGAACGTCATATGTCCTTGGGCAGCTTCTAGGAGCAAGGAAGGCAAACAGAGTGTATACTGATGGGAGAAGAGACGGTGGTACTAGAAGACACTTACGAGCTAAGAAATATCTGGAGGATATGGAGAGATAAATCACTGCCCCTTCCAAGATGATTCTGAACAACCACTCAAACTATTCTTTAATGCCCAGAAATGTATGGCTTCTTCTACTTAATCCATTTCTTCTATACAACATGAAGAAAACAATTGCAAAGGATAGACTAAGGTCATGGACTACAGGTGCTTTGCTGGTTTCTGGGTTCCTGCTATGAGTGGGACCATCCGGTGTTTTTCGTCTTTTTTCTGGCTTATTTCACTGGGCATGATCCCTTCCAGCGCCATCCATGTTGCTGCAGATGGCATGTGTTTGTCTTTTTTGATGGCTGAGTAATATTCCATGGTGTGTGTGGACCACATCTTCTTGATCCGGTCATCTATTTTGGGGCATTTGGGTTGTTCCCCTATCTTGGCTATTGTAAGTATTGCTGCTATAAACAGGGGTGCAGGTGCCCTTTTGAATTGATGGTTCTGTGTCCTTTGGGTAAATGCCTAGGACTGGAGTTGCTGGATCATATGGAAGCTCTGTGTTTGGTGGGTCCAGAGGTCTCCACACAGCTCTCCATGGTGGCTGGACCAGTTTGCACTCCCACCAGCAGTGCAGGAGAGTTCCTTTTTCTCCACACCCTCGCCAACATTTGTTGTTGCTAGTTTTCTTAATATGTGCCATTCTCACTGGTGTGAGATGGTATCTCATGGTAGTTTTGATTTGCATTTCCCTGATGACAAGTGATGTTGAACATTTTTTCATATGCCTGTTGGCCATTTGCATTTCCTCTTGGGAGAGGTTCCTTTTTGGCTCTTCTGCCCATTTTGTGACTGGGTTATTTACTTTGTTTTTTTGAGTCTCTTCAGCTCGCTAAGAGCATTCATTATTCTATGAGGACATCAGAAGTCTGCATACTTAAATCTCTAGAAACTTCTAAATATTGATTTTACACATGATCATCACCAAAGAAATCTTTCAGGATCAGTACAATCCTGATTACTTTCTGAACTGTGTAGGTTTTTTCTGAGTCATCAATGAAAAATACTTGTTTTAGAATTGAAAAATCCCCATACTTTGCCCCCCCTTGTCACCGATGAAGACATGGAGGTGCCTCTGAAAGCCATCTTCCCTCGGCGCCCACGGGCCCTAGGAGGAGACAGTGATGATCACTGAGTGAAGGGAAGGGCAGCCGTAATCTCTTCTGACTTGCTGGAGAAGCAGCTGTCAGTAGTTCTCCTGAAGCCTCCTAATAAAGGTTAAAGGTTCCATTTAACTAAGGCCCTAGTGGGGCCTCCAGGATGGCCTAGGGGTTAGTCTCAGCGCTCTCACCGCTGCGGCCTGAGTTCAAGCCCCGGCCAGGGAGCTACCCGCAAGGGGGCATGGAGCTAGAGCGCATGTGGTGCAGCAGAAGGTCTCTTCTCTCTGTGCCTGCTGCTCCACCATGCTCGGTGCTCTCCCCCCTTGCCCTGCCCCCCCCCCCTGCCCTGCCCCCCTCCCCCTGCCGCCCCGCCCCCCCCCCTGCCGCCCCGCCCCCCTCCCCCTGCCGCCCCGCCCCCCTCCCCCTGCCCCGCCCCTCCACAAGCCTTCCCAATATAAATTTGACACCTAGATACTCCCAAGTGCCTAAACCAAATAATGAGAGTATCAGTCGTGATTAAGAACCACATGCCACTAAACACCCCTCCGTATGTAACACCCCCGTAGTACCTTTAGAGTTTTTAATTTTGGCTATTTGATGTATATTATAAATCAACTATACCATTTGTTCTTTCCCTATATTAATGACTTTTAGTTCTTTAAGTCAGCCTTAATATTCTCATACAAATCATATAAACATACTATGAGTTTTAATGAAAAAAATAATAAAATACCCATTTTTAAGTCACAGTCCTATAATTGAGATAGTCCAGACAGACTCAGCTGGGTTCTCTGCTTAGGGTCTCATAAGGCTGACATTAGGGAGTTGATCAGATTAGGCCCTTGTCTGGAGGCTCTGGGGAAGAATCTCCTTTTACCACCTTTCAGATTGTTAGCAGAATTCAGTTCCTTGGGAGTACAGGAAGGGGTTGCTATTTCCTGACTTGCTGCCAGGGTCAATTCTAAATGTCATTCTCAGGGCCTAACCCCATGGTGTGCCCTCATCTCAACCACAGAAATCCCCCATGTGCCACATCCCCACCCCCATGCTGCAAATCTCTGTCTTCTATTACCAGCTGGGGTGTGGAGGGGGGAAAAACTTTGAAAGGTTCCTGTGATTAGATTTGTTCCACACAGATATCTTTTGATTAACGCAAAATCAATTCATTTATGATATTAATTACATCTGCAAAATCCCTTATTGCTCCGTAATAGTCACAGGGATCTCCTGCCCATCATATTTGCAGAGCCTGCCCACACTAGGGGGAGTGGATTATATGGCAGGAATCTTGGGAACCATTTTCAAATTCTGCCAATCTTAGTGTGTGGGGTGAGTTGTTTTAACTCTCCCTGGAAGTTAAGAGTGGACTTCTTGGTAGTCCCTGAAGCCCTCATGATGCTTTCCACCTCCTGCTGGACAAGAGAGATTGCACTAAAAGAATGGGCCAGAAATGAGAGAGACTGGAATCTGTCTCCTTTCACTTCCCTGTGGCCAAATGTTGAGCAATTCTGAACAGTAACACACAGATGAGGTAGAATGACAATTCTTTAGTAGACAGAGGCTTCTAACTGATTCTCTTGCCTATAGTATGACATCGCTGGACACTCTGGAGATGGCTTCAACATTGCTCTAGTGCCAATTAACAAAATCCCCAAGGACAACAAGCAAAGACTAGAGATTCTGAAGGTAAAGATATTCAATTACTTCTGTAATATGAAAACTTCCAAAGTATCTGAAAATATTTACTGAAGCGGCAGCAACTATAGGAAAAAGACTGTTTCACAGGTATTCAGGCACTAAACTGACAAACACTAATCATACCTAAAATCCTTTCTCCACGTACAGAAATTAAACTTGTTCCCTACATATTTTTAGCTACTCAGTATTATTTCAGGATTCTATAAACTGTGTCCCCAGCTACACCCTGTATAGTTCTCAGCCCCTTGATCTTTCAGTAGAAGGAAACAGATGATCCCTTCTAGAGTAGTCTCTAGTGCCAGTATTATGTGTTCTTGGTATTTCTAATGGTAAACTCAGTTGTACATAGACCTATAATAGAAACACACACACCCCATTATTTGAAAGTAAATGTCCTCCATTACTATGGATGTAAGCACAGTGTTTAATATTATAATTTTGTTTATTGGAAATTCAATCCATTCCTGATTTTTCTCCTGTGTCATCACCATCCTTTGGTGTGACGCCAAGTTTTATATTTTCTCATTTCAATTGCAACTTGACTTTTAAAAGTAAGTTCCAGCTGGGATAATATTGTAACATTTCTTGTTCCTAATGAAAATCTTTACCACATACAGACATCACTGTGTACAGTTATCACTCTACAGAGCTAATTAAATAGAACTCAGACTTCTTATTCAGGTGTACTAACTGGTATTTGTGCATTCTCATGGCCGATAGCAAATGTTCAAATTCATGAACAATGTTTCTCACCCATGCCTTTTGTGCACCATCTCTTCTTCCCCAGATAATGCATGCCCATGCTCAGTTCTGCATGAGTGGGGACCACACACTAGAGGGGACAGAACATGCCATCAAGGACATTATCAAAGAAGAAGCTGACGAATACTTTGTGATTGTCTTAAGTGACGCGAACCTATCACGATATGGAATACATCCTGCCAAGTTTACCCAAATCCTGACAAGCAACCCTCAAGTAAATGCTTTTGCCATTTTCATTGGCTCTTTAGGTGATCAAGCAACCAAGTAAGTATCATCTCAGGACACTCAGGGTAGGGTAGAGAGATACTAGAACATCTGATGCCTTTCATGGGCTAACATGTTAAGGAGGGACATCAGGGAGATGAGAAAAACTGAAACTGGCACTCCGCTCAAGGAGCTAATAAGCCAGAACATCCTCTCTCCTCAACTAGACTATGTTTGGATGAGCAGGAACATTTTCCACGGTTTTTTTGTTTTATATTTAAACAACAGTAAAATAGCTAGCAAACTGATTTGTCCACTAATAAATGTACTTTATATCAAGGTCCCAAACTCAATTCCAGTCTTGTTCAAATCCTGTTTAATCTAGCAAAGATTTCCTAGTTTCCTATGTGTGTCTATGTGTTGTAGACACGCACATGCATAAATCTGTGTGTCTGTGTTTATACACAGAGACTTCACATGTACACATCACAAACCTCTCCCTTGTTACATGGGAATAGGCAGTGACACACTTGGAGACAACCTAAGATGGTATATATGGTATATACAGTAAGATGCTGCACTGCATATACTGAAGATTCAGTCATAAAATTCATTCAGACAAGGAATACCGTACTGGATGATCTGAAAGGAGAAATCTGGAAATGTTTCATTACTTAAGCACACTAATATTCATCCTTTTCAATTACAAGAAGCGCATATTTCTCTGTTTAAAATACTTACAAGAAGTGGAGAACACAACAAAATATATATCGCCTGGAAAAAAAATCTTGCCTAAAACAAAAAAGCCATAGAGCTTTTAATTATTCTACCTCTTTTCCCTGTCCTATTGTGTGGCAGAGTCCCGTATAGACTAGAAAATGTTGTGTCCACAGTGCAGCATCTTTTCCCCTCAATTTCCTTTGCCTTGCTGCAGGCTACAGACTAAGGTTAAGAACAGACTTACTGTCATGTGATTACAGTCACTTTATGACAACTGACTGCATTTTCTCAATTTTGTGTTAGTCTCCACGTCCCTGAACACGAACCATGCCTTTCCTCCCAGGCTTTCTTCTGCATCAGCCCAGTACTAAGCAGATGGCAAGCTCAACAAATACTAGCCGAGCTGAAATGGCAATTTTGTCTTTCTAGTGAACAGATCCTGTTTGAATACTTAAGAAAGCACAATAATACCCTTGTGGTTTCCTAAGGAAATGGTCCAACACCCCCTGGCAAAAGATATGTTGTGGAATTAGCTGGTCTACCAGGCATGCCAAATGTATGATACGACACAGGAGGGCTGACTTTTATTAAATGTCATTCCAAAACCAAACTTTGTTGGCACAGTGAAAGGAGGCGTGCTTTTGGCGAGAACTGTCTTGCACTTTCATTACCTTCAAAAATGGCCCTTTGTTCCAAATGATAAATTGACATTTAAAAAAATTATCATAAGCCTATATAACCTCAGTGTCATCAAAGGAGCAATTACGTAAGCCAGATCGTATTTCACATTGGGTGATGGGCAGAAAGAGAGAAAGAACCACTAGGGGTTTGGGCAACATTTTTGGAGGCCTGTTTTCTAAGGCAGGAAAAGCACTTAGAAGGAAAGTGTAAGTTCAACACATTTCTGGACCCAGGTAGGCTGATCCCAGATTGGTCCCTAGGATCCTTTTCTGTCAAGGGAATGAATAGAAAATACCAGTAAATGACAGTAATAAAAAGTAATTTTTTTTTTTATTTTCAAATTGCTAGTTTTCTCAGTGAAAAGGTCTTTCTTTCAGTTCATTTTCAATGTCTAGCTCCCTGTGGCTCTTCCAAGTCTTTCATTGTGGAGTGACAGCCAATAATTGCAGGCAGGGGCAAGGTATTAGAAAGTGAAAACTTCCTTTCCTAAGAAGCCCTTTTGATACTGTGGTTTGTAAGGGCTGGAGGTGAAAGGGAGCCCCCATTTGCAATGGTAATTCTCTTTCCTTTTCCCTCCTGGCAGGCTTCAGAAAACTTTACCAGCTGGTCGGTCTTTTGTCGCCATGGATACCAAGGACATCCCTCAGATTTTACAACAGATCTTCACCTCCACCATGTTGTCCACTATCTAAGAAATGCCCTTCATCACCCTGGTGACCCTGTGATTTTAAATAAGCTAGGAATAAAGAGAACTCTAAAGAAAAGACATCTATAAAGTGAACCATGCAGTGATGGAATAATTCTGGCATTCCTGGGTCTTCCAACACTTGCTCAGAATTCAGGAAAGTAGCCAGAGGGAGGTTTGTGCATGGAAATCTACAATTGCTAATGGGTTACAAATCACTCAAGAAAAGTTGACCTGCATTTTATAAAAGGTCAGGGTTAAAGGAAGATGATTTGTGACTTGGTCTGTTTCCAGAAACCTGAGGGGGAAAAGGACACTTGGTTTTTGCCTTAACACATCCTCTTGGGCACCTAAGATAACAAAAGTGGCCCCATCCAGGAGCTTTGATGCTACATTCTGACATCGAGATACAGGTCTGTGGAAACACACCCAAACAGTTCCTGGTCAATAATCATTTTTATTTTCTCCTCTACTCTGGGTTGCCCAGCGAGCAATGATCTTATAGTATTTAGCCCATTAAAAAGACCTTCTAACAGCAATATTTTATATAAGGTTTGATTTTCTCAATAATTCCATTTTCTTGGCCAAAGCCAAAAGGAATCAAAAGATCCTTGGATTGCTTCCTTTCCCACATGACTTTTTAAAAGACTCTTTAAATAATAAAGAGCGAATGTTCTGTTCTCCATGCTACCCCAGTAGAAGGATAAAGGATGTCTTGCCTGAGTTCCCTGTTTCTTCTGCTGCTTCTCATCTTGGTATCCAAAGTTTAATATTCAAAATAACAAATGCTTGTAAGAAAAAAATCGGTAACATTCACATAAAATAACTTAAAGCAAGTAAAAAGAAGGCACTGTGTTTGAACTGAACGGTAGAGGTTTCTTTGACTATAACCAAAAGTGTCCTTTTGAAGGCCTCAATATTTTTTTAAATTGTACCTTATTCCACCCTCTCTTGGACTGACCTTTATTTGTCAATAGGCGCAATGTCACAGTTTAAAATCAAACGTTTCAGTAGGAGTCAGCCTCTTCAACCACATGGTAAAGGCTCACTCACCACTGATGGCAAGGTCAGAAACACTGGGGCACTTGTGTGCACACGGTCCTATGAGTTAGAAATCCAAGTTGTTCATGATGTTACCTTTTACCCAGACTTAGTGAAATTGTACAGATCCATTCCATTTTAATCAACTATAAGAAAGCAAAGATAGCAACAACAGCAGCAGCAGCTAGTATTTACTGATTACTAACTATAAAGCAGGTATGTTAAGCGATTTCATAAACGATTCCATTCAGTCTTCACAACAATACTTGCAAAAATAGGTATTTTTGCCACATTTTACAGTAAAGTGAGATTCAGAACGTGTCACTTTTCCAAGATTCCCTGTACTAGACTATTGACTAACCACCGTACTCAAACATCTTCACTTTACAAATAAATTAAGAATTAGAAAATTTCAAGGAAATGGGCCATGCAGGCAGGTAGGCCTGGAGTGGGCTGACCCTCTCCTTCTTCTTTGCTCACAAACCTAGTCTTTCCCCTTTCTCCATTACAGTTTCTCTTCTTGTAGGCTAACCCCATGCCTTCTTCTCCCGTCAAAATAATCATCTGCACATATTAGGACTCTCGAGGGTGGGTGTGGGGACCAAGGAAATGGGGCCCTGCTAGGGAAGATGTTTGAGCACTCCCCCCTGGACACAGCAGCCAGCTGAACAAGTGCCCGTCCAGGAACCAGCTTAGCCCCCGTGCGCGCCTCGTGGCCAGAGGCCCAGCCCCTGAAAGGCTTTGGAAGTTGAACCTGAAGATGAGTAGCAGAAGAGCCTTCTAACAAGTTCCCCGTATGCAACTACCTGAGTGAGCAGCAGCCATTTCTTTCACTTGGAAAGAATGTTCAAGTCATTTCACTTCCTTTTCCTCACTGGGGAGACATCCTTTGCAATTGCTATTTTGTTTTAAACCATAACTTCTGGCTTTACTTAAAGAGGAAGATGATGATAAGGGAGGGTGTAGAAAGTGAGAAGATGAAGAGCTTATTTTTACTTATTGCAACGCCTCAGAAGTTTATGCCTTTATTATTAAATGTACTTAATTATAGGCCACTGCAAGCTGTTCCCAGGCCCTTCTTAGGCCAGAACGATATAATAAATGCATTGTGTGCCTCAGGGGGGTACTATTGAAAGGCGTCTAAACCGGCTCCATAGTGAGCCCCTGTAATGCTGACAAAGTTCATTGTTGCCCCTGAGCAGCCAGGAGGAGTGAAAGCCCTGAATGGGCAGCAGATGATGCACACTCCCCCTGGAGTCCTTTGTGCCCCCCAAAAATGACCTCATCACACACAGGCAGCTGGAGCAGCACCACAAGAAGGGGATGGAGGAGGAGCGCTCGAGCCTTCGCTTGCTGGAATCAATCATCCAGTCTTTACACTGCGCCCTTTCCTGTGAACTGTCAGAGGAGGAGAAATCCATCACTGCCAGCAAGCACGGCTCTAAACTCCAGGGCTTTGAAAGCCATTTAGAAATGGGTTCCCATAGACAGCCCTGCCAGTGTTCCTGAAAGGCCAGCTCCACCTGGCTTCTTCCTGGGCTGTCACATCAGTCAAAATTAAATTCCTCCGTGAACAAAGCAGAGAGAAAGGGAGTGAGGGAACAAGAGGAGCTGCCTCGTGTGTTGCGTTTCTATTGGTTTCCAACAGCCAAAATTGTAAGAGGTGTCCCACCAAGCTCTCAGCCAGTATCTCCCACCTGGACAATTTTTCTCAGGAACTGCATCTCCAGAATAGTCAAATGTTCACCAGTATTTAGTAAATTGATCCTAGTTCTTTTCGTCTTCAATAAAATGTCCACGTTCAAGACATTACTCCAACCTGTAACACGTGGCTGCTTTTCTGCCCCATTCTAGTCAGCATCACAAAGTTCTCACCTATTGCCTTTCCTTTACCTTTCTCTAGACTTACTACGGCCAGAAGTACCACAGGTAATAGAAAGGAATTCCAGTCTTCCATCTCACAGTGGAAAGATTTACAGGCTCTAAGTAGAGTTAGTAAAAAAAAAAAAAAAAAAACAACAACAAACCTCAGACGTGCTCAGCCGTTAACTACCTGTGTGAACTTGGGTCGTCACTTTGGGTCTCACTTGCTTTAACTATGAATTAAAGGTGTTGGACAGAATGCTCTCTGAACACTGCAGTCCCGTGTTTCTATTTCTCATACAATGAATTGACTTTGTCCCTGTGTGTCTTACAAGAGCCACGTCCTTCCAGCGTAGTATCTCTTTCTCCGGAACCCACATCCATCTCAGCCTCTTGTACAAAGGATCTTAGCACCTGGATCAAGTGCCCTAACAAAATTGCGTTACTCATTGACTATGCATCCTCAAAGTTACATAAACACTAGAATTGCACAAAAGGGGCTTTCCCCCGTCGGCTAGACAGATATTTCTGTTGGATAATAATTCACGAGATTTCTGCCCATTGTCTCTTTGTTCTCTGCTGCTTTAAAATTCCGTATCTGCTGATCTGCACGGTGGGATCAAAAAGAATCAGGAATCGGAAAAGTACTGGGTGCCAGGAGCTGACCTTTGTGCCGAGGCTGAACAATGCACAATTGTGCGCATGGTTCTGTTTTTGTTTTTTTTTTTTTAATTGTTAAATCCTGTAAACAAAATCTCCAGAAGGGGGGAAATGCTTGCCAAGCTAACCTCTCAAGCTGAAAATGATTGGACACTCTTCGAGACTAGGCACTGTCTGGGGTTTTCACCTTCAAACAGAGGCCGCATCTGTTCTTGCGCAGCCCTGCACGCTGGCTCTGGGGTGCCAGGGCTTTGGAATTTCCAAATTGAGTGGTATTTGGCTGCTATGTAAAGAATGACACTTCTTTGAGGTGGTTTGGGAGTCGAGAACGTCATGTTCTGCTCACAATCTCATCAAGGATCACGTCAACTCTAGGGGCCATCGTCCACAGCGCGCAGCCCTCCCCTGAGCAGGCCCAGCACCCCGGTTCTCTCCTTGCAGGCTTCAGCACATGGAGCTGCCGGCTCCTCCCTGAAGGAACAGCACTTGTCAAACAACTGACACCTGCGGTGGCGAGTGTGACCCCAGAGGAGTGTTAGATAGAAGGATTTATTAAAATTACATGCAACTCAGAAGTATTACTAGTGGCAGCTGGAGTTTGACCTGGAAATGGAAAGAAACAGTGCCTGTATGAACATCCCAAAGCAAGTGGGTCTCCTTATGCAGGCCAGATGTGATGAGAAAAATAAGGAGTCTGCCAAGAGTGCTGAGTGTAATTGGTCTCATAGTGCCATCCATGAAGCCTTGGTAATTGAAACTTGAAGAAAATAGTATATTTACTAAGGGCATTAACATTGAATTTAAAATGTATTATATTTATATTAATAAATACTGATAATTTAATGAAACTGATCATTTATTCTCTCTGGTACCAATTATGATCCATCATCAGGACTCATGAAAAGTGAGTGTCTCAGCCAAACTACTTGTTCCCTCCCCTTTTGCAGAAGACTTTCAGCCTGTATGAAATTCAGTCCTGAAAACACTGAACAGGTCACTGCAGGTGTCCTGGAAATCAAGTGGGAATGCTAGGGCAGCAACTGGTTGCCCAGCCTTGGCCTCATCTCTTGGGAGCAGTTTCCAGAGAGCCCAGGGCTGCTGAGGAATCCAGGTTCGTCCACAGCAAGCCAGGAAGCTCAGACTACAGGGTGCTGTGCACAAAAAAATAAAAAGGGCAGATGACTAGGAGTACCCAAGAAGGCGCAGGGCCTAGTTAATGACACGTGGGCTGGGGATACAGCTGTTAATTTTGAAGTGTGTCCTTTAAGGCCCCGATGCTTCTGAACAATTTTCAAAATAGAACATGCACGTCCACACAGTAGGCTCCAATACCAAGATTTGACATTCAATATGTAGTGTCTGAACTCAAGAATCCCTTTTTCTCCTTGACCTTTCGTGGAGACTGGAAAGAACAGGAATGCTCTCTGCAGAGGTGGAAGATTGTAGCGGCTCTCGAAGCCGCCTGAAAGCAGACATTCAGTCACTTGGCTGGAACACAGCTCCGCACAGCTGGCCTGGCCGCTTGCCCACTAACATCTGAAGTCTGTCTTCAGAGGGTGTTGCTCCAGGAGAGGGGCGCCTCTTTTAAAATACAAATGGCCCTGAGAGGCTATCCATCTTGCGCATCGTGGTTGAATTCCTTCATTCGCGTGCTTTCCTCCCGGCCCCAGCGGAGGGGAAGGCGGCTGGGGCAGGGAGACGCTGTCCTGGGGCAAGGAGGGAGCTGGGGGTGGGAGTTATTTGCTACTTGAAGCATCACCTAAGCAGACGACAGGCCCGGGCCATAGCGCAGGACGCATTGTTGGTGACGCTCTCCCCATGGGCTACATGTCGGACCCCCCAGTCCTGGCAGGAACACTCGCTCTAGGCCAGGAGGACACGGGTGGGTGATCTGGGTCTCTCCAGTCTTGCCTTCTGGGGTCGCAGATCTCCTCCGGTGTTTTGCCCTCCTTTGTGGGAAGCTCTGCCTTTCTGGCAGCTGTGGTGTGGCGGCCGGTGAGCTATGCACGTCCCTATGGTTACCAGAGGCCTTCCTTAAATGTTACACGTCTCCCCTCCGCCCCAGGCCAGGTCTCTGGTAAAGTGAACAAATCAGATTTTCTCTATTTCAGCTGGCCAAGAACTCTGCCCTGTGCTGTGGACCTTTCAAAAGAGAACTTAACACCCCCGAGAGGCCACAGCCCTCACTGGAAACCACTTCCCTCCTCTGCAGAAGCAGAGCTGGTCCTGCCCCATCGCACAGCACAGCAAGCTACTGGAAGAGGAGGGAAGAGCTGAGGCGCTCCCCAGCCCGCCGGTGAGGACGGAAATGAGATCAGAGTGAACTCATGCTGAGAATGTTCCTCCGTGCAATCAGTGCCGAGTATACCTCTGCTGAGTTTTCTGAAGTGTCTGTAATTCAGGCTTTAGGAAGAAGCTGTTGTGCAACAATTTCTAAAAGCCCTTAACCATTATTTCCTTAGCACTAAAAAAAAAAAAAAGAAAAAAAAAATCAAATGCTTCTGGAAAATGAATGTGGCTTTTGAAAAATAGCTCCTTTTTCTTTAAGCCTTTAAAATGGGGTTTTTTGCCCTCGAAGGAGAGCCAGTTTTACATCCTGATCTTTGCTCCACCAGCCACCCTCACAGTCATTACTGCCACCCCCAAAGGGCTTATAAATAAAGACCATGACATCAATTTCCCTCTTCAAACCACATCAGCTCCTCCCCATGACAATCTAATTTGCCCATTATTTGAACATCCTTCAATCAGAACGTCCCACCCAGGCCTTCTGTGATTCAAAGCCACAGGGCTGGCGCTCTGGAAATATTACATAAGTCAGACGAGTCTAGGGATGAGCAAGAAAGGCAGAGAAGTGGGTGTTCAGGATAAAAAGATACACCCTGCTTTATGGGGTCCAATCCATTCCTGTCATTTGTGGGCCCCTAAGAAACCCCAAACTCAAGTTTGCACAGTGCAGGCTTAGTCTCTGAGCTCCAGGGGGATCCCGCCCCTGCCCCATGAGCCCCGAGCTCCATGCCATGGTTATTCTCTCTAAGATGAGGATAATTCCGGATCTCAGGGTTCATGTGAAGATCAAAATAAAGTATCTCATAAATAGAAAGTGTGATCCCGTTCAAAGGGTTTTAAGCCCAAGAGGGGAGTACCCCGAGGAGAGCAGGGTGCCTTTGACCAGTCTCCTTTGGAAACCAAGATGTCCTCCAGGCAAACACCTCAGACGGAGGCAGAGCCCAGAGCAGCCTCTCCCGCAGGATGAGCGAGGTGAGGCCCAAGTAAAGGGGCAGCCTCAGGCGGTGGGTAGCAGGGTGGGGACAAGCCTGCGGCCACTCAGCTCCAGGCATCGACGCCCCCAGGGCAGCTGGAGCTCTGCTCTGGGGTTGTGACCATGAATTGGTCTCCAGGTCAGAGCTTTGTTTCTCGGGCTCCGCCATCGCCTAGCTCTCGGTGAGGATGAGGCAGTGTCTTCAGAGCGGCCCCCATGGTTTGCATGGCAACCACAGGTTTCCCTTTGGGAGACAGAGTGTGCTAGTGTTAGGGGGAAATGATGTCCTGAGCTAATCCCATCCAGGCTTTGTGGACCCCACCCCCACTCCAGACTAAAGCCACCAGGACATTGGGAAAGACAAATCCCATCACCACCAAGGGAGGGTGGCTGGGACCTGAGGGTGGAGTTGGGCAGCCAGGTTGGATATAAAAAACCAAACACGTGGGCCTTGGGCTCTCTCTCTGGCGCGCGGTCGCTCGCCTCCTGGCTTCACCGCTCCTGGCTGGCGGCCAGCTCTCAGAGCGCCATTTTGGGATTCCTGATCGGCGGATCGGGTAGGACTCATTTAAAACTTTGTCTCCCACTTTTCTCGCAGAGCTGTACATTGCCTCATTTCCCCTTCCCTTGTAAATAAACCTTTTATTAACCTTTCACGTGTGCCTGCAGTAGAGCATTGATAAGTCCTTTTAAGCGCGGGTGAGGACCCACAGTCAGGCACCCCGTTTTGTATCGGGGTTGCTCTACAACAGTTTGGCGCCCAGCGTGGTTGCTCTACAACACTAGGACTGTTGACAAAATAAAGACTCTCATCGCGTCCATCAGGGATGTCTTCCTGGCCTGTACCCCTTCCTCAAACCCAAGCGAGAACCCCTGAGCCAGGAAGATTTTCAGCTAGCCCTCAGAGAATGTCTCCCCTTAGTCCCTTCTTGAGGGGGTTGACGCCGGAGTCTCAGAAGATGAACTCTAAGAGCCATTTTCCGGCACTAGTTAGTAACCAGTATCTGGCGTTGCCCGTGCCAGGCACTGCCTAAGCACTTTTCGTACATAACTTATTAAATTCTCACAACTCTATGAGGCAAGTAGGGACTGTTCTTATTCCCATTTGGCTGAAAAGGCAAAAATACCCATTCTACCCTAAAAGAGAAACCAAGTGCTGAAGAGGGAGAGAGGCGCACAGGGCACATAAATTTGTAAGAACTTTCCAGTGGCTGATTGCAATTCCTGTTGAAAGCCAGATGCACCCGACCCCACCCGCCCCACCCCCAGACCCAGATGCCTCGGTTTCCTCCTAACACACCCCTTCTTACGTAAGCACTTGGAGAGCTGGGCACAAGTGTTTACTGTTCCCTGAATCCAGCCATGCCTCACCCATCCCCTTGCAACTGGGGGCGCGTGGGGGGGAGGGAGGAGGCCACACAACTAGTTGTGGCCAACAGGCTGTGGGCAGAAGTGATAGGTGTGACTAACAGGTGGCAGCAGTGAGAGGCAGCAGCCTTTGTCTTTCTCTGAATTGAGAGGATTGAGAAAATCGTGTGGTTGAGATGGTAGAACCCCACAGAGAACCTCTATGAACCCGCCCCCACGCCCCGGCCCCATTTGCATTGCACATGCAGCATAAACTGTTGTAGAGCAACCCCGATACAAAACGGGGTGCCTGACTGTGGGTCCTCACCCGCGCGCTTAAAAGGACTTATCAGTGCTCTACTGCAGGCACACGTGAAAGGTTAATAAAGGTTTATTTACAAGGGAAGGGGAAATGAGGAAATGTACAGCTCTGCGAGAAAAGTGGGAGACAAAGTTTTAAGTGAGTCCTACCCGATCCGCCGATCAGGAATCCCAAATGGCGCTCTCAGAGTTCGCCGCCAGCCAGGAGCCGTGAAGCCAGGAGGCGAGCGATCGCGAGCCAGAGAGAGCCCAAGGCCCACGTGTTTGGTTTTTATATCCAACCTGGCTGCCCAACTCCACCCTCAGGTCCCAGCCACCCTCCCTTTGGTGGTGACGGGATTTGTCTTTCCCAATGTCCTGATGGCTTTAGTCTGGAGTGGGGGTGGAGTCCACAAAGCCTGTATGGGATTAACTGAGGACATCCTTTCCCCCTAACAAAACGAGCAAGAAATAAATCTTAGCCATATTAAGTCACTGAAACTTCAGGTTAACCTGGTACAAGGGCAGAAAAGCATAACTAACACAGGGCGAGCAGAAGGTTCTGGTTGTTCCTTTTTCTCACAGCCTAATATTCCCAGGTGGAAACACACCAAGGTTAAGATTTCAATTGAAGAAAACTATTTCTCAGTGCTAGGCAGCTATTTAACTCAAGGATATGTTGGGTTCCCTATTTGCAAGGTGCTCATTCATGAGGGAAGACATTCCAGGCCCATCCTGCCGGGTGCTCACAAGCGGCTGGGACAGAGGTCACTGTGAGGAATGAAGAAATAACAGCTGGTTTTACCGCCCACCTCCCTGTTTACTAGGGGGTTGGGAGGGTTGTCAGGAAGTCACAGGTGCTGAGCACACCATCTCATAATGGACCCCCTCTCTGCCTTCCCGAGCT